GTCAAATAACCTTCAAAAAAAATGTAAGCTCTAACACCATTGACATGCACAGTAACAAGGGGGAATTTCGTTCTCGACCAATCAGCGCTTTTGTTTACATTTTTGCCCTAAGCCAATCAGAATGCGTAAAACGCTTCATCACATGAAATTTGCAAACAAATATATGGGGTTACCTCAGAGCTCTTCTGCAAGCGGTTTTTTGCTTTTTTGCCATGAAATTCATATATGTTGTTCTTAAAAGAATTCTCCTCAACTTCCTCGTGGCGATTTTTGATTAATTGCGTGATTGCAAAGATATAGGTCTTCAAACTTTGCATTGCGCAAGCTTAAATACCACCCCTCGAATTTGTAGGTTCCGAACGGATTGGCGTTTTTAAAAGCCTTTCAAATGGAGGTTTGAGAGGTTTTATTTTCAAAAAGATACTTTTATCTTCATATTTTCACATTAACTTATTAATATCCTGTGTAACAAGTAAACAGGACACTTCCGGGCCTGGACAAGTTGACATGTCGATTTCTTGCTAAACAGCGTGGCGATCAATATGGCGAATATCTAAATACAGGGAATTTTTAAAATTTGTTGGTATAAATGGGCTAAAGAAACTCATCAAATATTTGGACTATGGAACTTCAAACTTATGGCAAATATTTATTTGGTTGATTAGCTCAATAACCGTTTTTTGGCTCGTTTTTCGTCGATTTCAACGTTTGGTCGACTTCAGAATAAGGCCACATAAAAAAAATTACTTGTTTAGCGTCCCCGCCCGACCTGATAAAAGTCCCCGACCTCCAATTTTTTTTTATTTTTTTTTTTAAATTTGTCCGAGTTTAGTGGAAAAACTCTATAAAAAAGACCGTTTTACTTGAAAAAATGGTGATTTTATTCTTCTGGGAGCTATGTAATACGTTTACACAAAGTTTCCTTCCCAGAATATGCCTGTTCGCAGCTAAAGTGTTCGCGCGTGACCGCCAAACGGTAATTTTCTGTTTTATTAAAAACATGAACGGGAAGTTAAAAAACATGAACGGATTTTGAAAGAATTAAAGTGAGTTTTGACTGTGGTAATATACTGGATTTCCTGCATTTAGCAGAATTTTGTGTTGCATTTTACGAAAAAAAAAAAAAAAAAAATCCGTCCGCCCGACCTAGAAAAATTAAAATGGGTGGACGCTAAACAAGTAATTTTTTTTATGTGGCCTAATGTGTCAACATCGCGTGTTGCAGCCTGTGGACATGAATATTTTCGTTTGTTTGACCATAACACTTGTCGTATTGTTTTGAATCCTTGAATGACAATATATTACTGGTCTCAGAGTCCTAAACTTAAGTCCTAAAAAAATGGATGACTTTGGGACAGATATCAACACTTTGTTCAGATATCAAAATTTATGGACATTATGGACATATATAGTCACTCATGGCATATATATAGCCATAGGACCCTGATTGTTTCTTCCTTAATCTGGCCCACTAGTCACAAATGGGGCCTGTTCTTATGACCTGGCTAGGCAGGAGACAACATTTGCCAGTAATGCCGACATAATATCCTGCTACAGTGCTACTATACTATTCTGGCCTATTTTATTAACTGTGTTCTGGCTAAGGACGAGGTATCCACTGCCAGAATCCCAACTATGCAAGCCAAGAAATTCACCATTCACATGCAGTAAACATTCTATCCCACAACCAGGCAACATGAACTTGCCTTTAAGGTCCCATGCTGCCTAGCCCAGATCATATATCCAGACCCTTAGCAGATCCTGAAACTACAATTGCAACATTTTAGGCCATTATCTTGTAGAGTCAAGCAGGTATTGTCATGCAGTAGTATAATATCACACCAGGCAAGCTGGTCTTGCCCATTTATATGGGCTTAATATACACCTGCCCATGGTAAGATACTGACTCGTATATTAATTTTATATATGTTTGCATGAGATTGCATTCACATGAAACAGCCTGGTTGAATTATAATTTATTGGCCCAGCATCTGCTTGAGCAAGTTGATATCCTGCATTGGGAGTCTCGCACTAATAAAAATCGTATGCTGGCCAATGCAACCAGCTCACACAACTAAAAATAATGTTATAATACACAATTTGGCCCAGGTAAGTAAGAAATTGATTAGTATAAGCCTTCTGAAGCTGTTGTCATTAAGAAATCAACCAGAATTTCACACAATTAAATTTCTTGTCAACACTTGCCAGGTTAGCCTGGCTCCTGTGAGGCAAATGAAAAACTAGCCCTGAAAAGAAAATCCAGCCAAGTTTGCTGGGCTAGCATGGCCCATTTTGACAGCCTTTAACAGGGAGAGCTTATTTTTGAAAGGGAGATCTGATTTTTGGAATGGAGGCCTATTTGTGAGGTCGCTGGGGGCTTAATTTTGGATTGCATTATTATATAATATGTGTAAAATATTCATTTGTGCACAGGTATTCTGGTCATGCACAAATTTATGGACTAAAAGGTTTCAATTATAGTCTCGGGATCTATTGGGGACCTGTTTATATGATCTAGCTAGACTATCCAGAACACATGCTTGAAGCCTATCATGTTGCCTGTTAGGGATACTGTGCTTATTGTATATGGTGAATTCCTTGGCTTACATATAGCCAGGATTCTAGCAATGGAAACCTCATGCTTAGCCAGGCCAATAGTAGCAGGATAGGATAGGACATACTGGCCAATGTCGTCTCCCACCTAGCCAGGTAATATGAACAGGGCCCAATTGTGACTAGTCAGACAGATGAAGTAAAAACAATGAAGTTCATATATGTCCATAAATTTTGATACCTGAACAGCAACATTGAACAAAATCATTCTGTCCCAATGTTATCCATCTTCCTCATCTTCCTTAAGTTTAGGACTCTGAGACCAATGAGTATATTGTCATTCAAGGATTCAAAACAATAAGACAAGCGTTATGGTCAAACAAACGAAAATATTCATGTCCACAGGCTGCAACACGCGATGTTGACACATTCTGAAGTCGACCAAACGTCGAAATCGACGAAAAACGAGCCAAAAAAACAGTTATTGAGCTAATCAATCAAATAAATACTTGCCATAAGTTTGAAGGTCCATAGTCCAAATATTTGATGAGTTTCTTTAGCCCATTTATACCAACAAAATTTTAAAAATTCCCTGTATTTAGATATTCGCCATATTGATCGCCACGCTGTTTAGCAAGAAATCGACATGTCAACTTGTGCCGGTGTCAAGCGAAATCCCTGACCTCTGCGAAATACCTGACCTAGCGTGACGGGTCAGAAATTTCGCGCGTACAGGCGCGAAATACATGACGCTTGCTAAATTCTAAGTCGGCCAAAACTGTTTTTTAGAGTTTAGATAAAATAATCATGATGTTAATTTCTAATACTTCGTTAAATATTTCAAATCGACATCGCTAAGTTTCAATCACAAACACTTTATAAAATTTCAAAGCGAATTGTGTGGTCGTGACCGCGAAATACACGATGTTTGCTAAATACGGTCCGTCGAAACGATTTTTAAGTCCATATGCGATGTTACCAAATGTTTCTAATATAGACATCGCTAAATCTAAACGGCCAACTCACGAACTCATTGTTGCTGCATACTAAATAGTGAGAAGGTCAAACGCGAAACGATTTTTAGTGCTTTAATATAGTATAGTAATGCATATAGCATAACCTTTGAAACTGCTGGAGTCTATTTTATATCACTAAGATAGATCGCTTTTCGAGTGATTTTTTCCATATCTGCGATTCAAGCTTTATTATCGCTGAACGCTAACGTTCACAGTCAGTGGTATAGTGTCAATTCAGTTGATCAATTGTAGAATTGATGTTGGAAAATTTATGTATAGATAAAATGACTTTATAAATACACGTGTTGTCTGTTGAATTGCGAAATTTATGAGCCAAAGTCATTCATGCGCATCGTCTGCGCATGGGCAGTTCTACAATAGTCAGATATTTCGCAAGTCAGGAATTTCGCGTCACACCGGCCCGGAAGTGTCCTGTTTACTTGTTAGGGACCGCTCATTATTTATTGTACAGGGGGGGATTAAGGAGAAACTGGGGGGCCTTTAAATTTTTCAAAACCTGAAAGGGGGGGCTTTGAAAAAATACAGAGATACGAAAGAAGGGGGGCTTTGAAAATATTTACCAGTTTGAAAAAACATTAGTAGTTTTAAAAATGTATCACAAAACAACTTAACAACAAATAACAATATTTATAGACTTTAATATTCATAAATGGAAGTCAAATAAAAAGTCTCTCGTGTTCATGTAAATAGACAATTCCTATTATAGACTAATTTTAGAACTAGGCAAAGAGATGCAAATCAAGGCCGAATTTTGGTGAAAATAGTGGGGGAGGTGGACAAAAATTTTAGGAGAGGTGCAGCGGTCTAGCTCACAACTCCCATGGAAAGTTAGGGCTTATTGTAGAACAGGCCAATATCAACGAGGTGAGGTATGCATGTAGTGTACATAATATGTACCAGTGTATTAATGAATTATGAATGTATGACTCCAATCTTGCCCTTCATTGCAATTGCTACACTGTTTCTTTCAAAACATTGCATTAAAAGGGTACTTGACATGGCTATCACTGTTTCAATTTTACAGAGAAAACTTTCTTACGTCACAAAGTGTAGATCCTAAGCAACCATCACATTTTCACTTTGTTCCATCATTGAAACTTTCCCAAGGGGAAGTGCATGACCTTTCAAGAGAGGTGGAAAAATTCTCAGGGGAGGTGCAAAACGATCTCTGGGGAGGTGCGCACCTCTCCACACTTCCCTCAAAATCCGGCCTTGATGCAAATAAATCACCACAGCTGGAAAGAGCATATTAAAATAAGTAAATTATTGCAAAGTTTGGTTGCGAATTGTTGCAAAATACGGAAAATATAGCCTTGCAAAGTTTGCAAATTTTGTACACTTTTGTATTGCATGCGAAAATTGCAATTATACAAAAGAATACAAAATTTGCAAACTTTGGAAGGCTATATTTTCTACATATTTTACAACATTTTGCAACCAAACTTTGGAATTTGACTAATTTTAGTATGCCCTTCCCGGGAATATACTTTTTTTGCTAAGATAAAAAATTAGTCTATAATGGGAATGTCTATTGGTCCCCATTACCTATTTTTCTTTCTCTAAAATAAACAGCTAGAGTTTTTGTTTCTTTAAATAAAGATAAAGAGCTAGAGGGGGGGGAGGCAAAATTTATGTTCTTGTTTTGCCTGTGGGGGGGGGGGCTTTGAAAATTTTACTTGTCTTAAGAGGGGGGCAACGAAAAAATTTTATAACTGTAGAGTTTCTCCTCAGTCCCCCCCTGTACAATAAATAATGAGCGGTCCCTTACACAGGATATTAATAAGTTTATGTGAAAATATGAAGATAAAAGTATATTTTAAAAAATAAAACCTCTCAAACCTCGATTTGAAAGGCTTTTAAAAATGCAAATCCGTTCGGAACCTACAAATTCGAGGGGTGGTAATTGAGCTTGCTCAAGGCAAAGTTTGAAGACCCATATCTTAGCAATCACGCAATTAATCAAAAATCGCCACGAGGAAGTTGAGGAGAATTCTTTTAAGAACAACATATATAAATTTCATGGCAAAAAAGCAAAAAACCGCTTGCAGAAGAGCTCTGAAGTAACCCCATATATTTGTTTGCAAATTTCATGTGATGAAGGGTTTTACGCATTCTGATTGGCTTAGGGCAAAAATGTAAACAAAAGCGCTGATTGGTCGAGAACGAAATTCCCCCTTGTTATGCACAGTGAAACCAAGATGGTATAAAGCTCACGGGTGAGCACAATTTGAGACCGATATTGAGGTAACGTTAGGAAAACAGTTCAAACGCACGTAGAAAAGGGTCGTTCAGATTACCAATTTGCCAACGGCAACGAAATAAATAGATCACAAACTCGAATGTAATTGTATAACAACCAAACTTGTAATATAAACGCGAAACTATAACGTGTAACGTGAAACGTGGTTCGACTAAATAGAAATGAATATAAACCTAAATTAATACTAAATACTTAACCTAGCACTAACGCAACTAAACAATAAACTACAATATACAAATGAATTGTCACTTACAGACGTTTCCCCAGTAACTCTTTAACTTTTAACGTAAATTGGCTCTCTCTTTGGCTGTCCTCTCTTTACGAGTGTCTCAAACTATACTGCCGAGTTTTGGGGCTAAGCGTGCTTTTTTTTGCAAAAACGTAATTAACTACATCAGTATTAAAAATATAAGTTTCCTGTGATAAGCACAGTTGTCATTACTAATATTACTAATAAAACACAAATTGACAGTTCCAATCCTACAAAAGATTCAAAGCTTCATAACAATGTATTTTCTGCAATAAAAAAAGATAGATCACCGTGGTTATTTGTCCGCTAAGATGGCTTTTTTGGTTTATATATGCCATGCGTATAGATAGGCAATATAAACTCTTCAAACGCTTTGGTTTTTTGGCGAAAACAAAAAATATTTTTACATTGTAAGATTTCTTGAACACGACGTATGGCCCATTACACGAAGAAACATGATATATAATTGCCGAACAGTTACACTTTGGTTCAACGTAGCAAAAACGACCTTCGTTGATTTTTTCCTTGTTTTACTGTTTATTTTTCACTATTTTGAATAAAACTCCCGCCTATTTGCAGTGAGTCCAGACTCACGTTAATTAAAAATGCTTGTAAGTGGTCGTTGATCACTCTTTACTTTATATCATTTTACTGTTTAACGGAGCAGTATCACCGTTTGCGCATCTCTTCTGCGCATAGCAAACTTGAAAAACTAGCCTTATTTTTTCAAGTTTATGATTCAAGATGGCGGCCATTTGCGAGTGAGCGCATTGCAAGAGAGGCAACTGATTTTGGCACATAGATGTAAATACAAGGCTCATGCTGAAACCCAGCCGTTCTGCGGTATGACAACAGGATAAGTGAATAACATATTACTAACGTAATTGATTGTAAATACCGCGGATTATTTTGTTAAAATTAAAAATTCAGAACTAAAAAGGTAGAAATTAGAAAATGCAACATAATGCCATAAGGATGCATGATATGACAGGATATTGAAGAGTACTGGAGTATTAAATTCAAAATTTTGACGTCAAGTATGCAAAAATGCTGTGTAACTAAACTTTCACAAATTTCATTCAGTTTTTGCAAACTTGTTCCCGTTGCAAGGCCAGGCTCTTGTTTATTAATTATCTATTATTTCATAATTTTTAAATATTAAAATACGTTTTCTGCCTAATGTCAATGTATGTACATGATTGTTTACGTATGTGTTGGGATACAGTCGGCTAGTTCTGGGTTTTCTTTCATATAAACTATATCAACTTCAATGTTTATGTACTATTTAAAAAACGAGCAGGAGTGTTTTATTAGGTTTAAAGTCACGAGCGCGCAGTGCAAGTGGCTTTAGACCTAATAAAACACGACCTGCGAGTTTTTTAAATGGCTTCAAAAACGTTTGCATAATAAGTCAAATCTTTATATAAAAATCTTTATATAAAAATCTTTATATAAAAATCTTTATATAAAAATCTTTATATAGTTTGCATATACAATGGTCTTTTGTTAAAGTGTCCTTTAGCTAGTATAAAGACGCATGCACGTGACTAATTTCTTACTCAAGATTGGATAATTGCTTCATGAATTATTAATGAGTTTTTGAAGTTTAATTAATCTATTTGTTTTATGTTCAATATATTTGCGTGGTGGACATGCACCAGTGTGGAAAGTTTGTATCGCGCAACCAGGAATATCGGGCGCGCAGTTTTGGTCACAGGCGTCAGTTCAATATAAATGCGTAAAATGTGTGGCAGATATGCACCTTTTTTATTAAGTCCACTCTTACCTCAAATGAAAACATTCAAATCTCGATTTCCCATGAAACAGATTTTTAACGGATGTTGCTGCTGTTTAAAATTTTCCCGATTGCTTTATTTCAGTTTCATTTGCCTTCAATCGAGCAAGGCATTTAAATTCCCCATTTAAACTGTCTGATGTAATTTGTAAACACAGCATTCAATAACAATACATCGCGTGATCTGTGTTTCAAGTTACAAGAATGATGTTCATTTCCTGTTATTGTGCAGAATTTCTAAAAACACATTAATTGGATCAATGACATTGACATTGTGGATATATTTGAACATATTTGGTAATGTTTGCTGATGTGTGGGCCAGTGTGGCAGGGGCTGGGTTTCTTCAAAATTTTAATTACATCATCGTCCAAAAGTTAAACTGTAGGACAGCAATGTTGACGCCTAGCCTTCTCCGCTCTCCACAGGCATCTCACCAGAATGACTCGAGGAATCGGGTGGTCGGAAAAAGTAATATTTTTCCTGCCTCGTCTAGTCGTCTCTCGTCGCTTCAGTTGCGACTGAATAGAGATCAGTGGAAGAACAACGGGATATTTTTCATAACCCGTGAGGAGGACGCTAAATGTTGACAATGTTGTATAATCTCGTGGTCGGAAAAAGTAATATTTTTTCAAAACCCCTGAGGAGGAGGCTAAATGTTGACAATGTTATGTAATCTCGAATCTCGAACGGTGCCATTGCAGGCCTGGTGACGAGGACTGGCGACGACTTTTACGAGTGACAAGGGAGCTGCGGAATGAGAGGGATATGTCCTTCACTCGAAACGTCGAACTTCTGCTTGTATTTTTAAAACAATTTTCCATTTAAGTTGCAATGTGTGTCATCTTAATTATTGCAAAGCAACATTAACAGAAACAGACGGATCACAGATCCACCAAGGCCCAGGCTCTATTTGCCCGTGCCCGCCTGTGAAATCACAGGTGGGCGCGGGCAAATAGAGCCTAGGCCTCTTGTGATTCAACGAATAAAATTGTTCCAGTAAATGCAGAAATTTGTCCAGAATATCCATACAGCAAAATCTTAGCGACCACGGGCCAGAGGCTGCGGAAGCATTTCGAATGTGGAGGGGCATTGGTCAAAAGGGGCACTTTTGTATGTGACCAAAATCAAACGATTTTATGACTCTCTATAAACAAAGTGTCTATTTCGACACATCATAAATTATTTGAATTTTGAACACTTAATTCCACTTTGTAAACACCATGAACACAAAATCAAACATAAACTAAGTGGACAGGTCGACTATAATCGAGCTAATTTTGGGTAGATCCAGTTTATTTGTACAAGATGAAGTACCACGCCACATTGTGGGAAGATCACAGATTCACAGCGGCACAGAATAAACAGAGGGAAGATCTTGAACTTGAATCAATCTATTTATTAAAGAGCAATAAATACAGTTCGTGTGTAAAAATTATAAACTTAAGGTGAAAGCCACATCGTACAAGAAAGACGATTATTGACAGACGAGAAAGAAACACTCTTAAAGCTTGTTAATAGTAAGTAACACGTGTACTAGCTATGCAAAATATACAATTGGCATATTAAAATGGCATGATTTGATCTATTAAATTGCATGTGTTCTATGTATTAAAACATATCTACATATTTCTTGCTGGTATAGTAGAAATTATTTTGTGTTTATATGGACAACCAGGCTTATTTGAAACAGACGAGATCACGGTTACTGCATGGGATGACAATTTCCCATACAAAATTATAAACACTCGCTATATAACCCTGCAAAATTTGCCCAGTTGCCAAAATTTTGTTTGAAACAGGCATGGTGTAGCTCAGGCTCTCAGCTCAGCCTGAAGATTTAATTCTACCCCTGGTTAGGTCTAATATAAATAGGTTTACTACAGCAATTCAGCCTAAAGTATTTGTTGCATGGTCGTGCGAAAAGCAGATTTTTATGGTCCAATATTGTTCATCTGTTCATTCAATATCGAGGATATTGTTGCATGCATCATATTTGGACAATGATACATTGTGAGTATAGTGTTTCTGGTGCTCTGGCTGGAATCCTTCACTACCCCAGCTACCTCCACTTATTTTCTGTCACCGGCCCAAACAGACTAAAACCTATACCAGTACGAATTCCACTAATCTGGGCTAACCTGCAGCTCCAAGAAGGACGATTTCTATTGGCTGAGATAATTTCGAAGCAGTTAATTATCAACAGTTTCTAATTTCTGATCGACTTAAATAGCAGGCCAGTAGGCTGCGTGCTGGCCGTTGTACTTTGCCTCGCCTGCATTTCGGGTATTTCACAGTAGGAACAACATCTTCGAAGCTGGATGACATGTTAATATTAACTTTACAGCTGTAGCAAATATACGGACACTACGGACACGTTACATGCAGACATGTAGCAAATGTAGCAAATATATAGTCGTGCACACCAACTATGACCTGTAGCAAATGTAGCAACGTAGCAAATATATAGTCATGCACACCAACTATTACCTGTAGCAAATGTAGCAACGTAGCAAATATATAGTGAGTCATGTATACCAACTATTATCTGTAGCAAATGTAGCAATGTAGCAATTATATAGTCATGCATGCACACCAACTATTACCTGTAGCAAATGTAGTAACGTAGCAAATATGTAGACATGCACACCAACTATGACCTGTAGCAAATGTAGCAACGTAGCAAATATATAGTCATGTATACCAACTATTATCTGTAGCAAATGTAGCAACGTAGCAAATATATACAGACATGTATACCCGCCAAGTATGACCTGTAGCAAATGTAGCAAATATACAGTCATGCACACCAGCTATTACCTGTAGCAAATGTAGCAACGTAGCAAATATATAGTCATGCACACCAACTATTATCTGTAGCAAATGTAGCAACGTAGCAAATATATACAGACATGTATACCCGCCAAGTATGACCTGTAGCAAATGTAGCAATGTAGCAAATATACAGTCATGCACCCCAGCTATTACCTGTAGCAAATGTAGCAACGTAGCAAATATATAGTCGTCATGTATACCAACTATTATCTGTAGCAAATGTAGCAACGTAGCAAATATAGTACAGACATGTATAGCCGCCAACTATGACCTGTAGCAAATGTAGCAATGTAGCAAATATAATTATATACTGTAGTTACTGTATAGTCATGCACACCAACTATAACCTGTAGCAAATGTAGCAACGTAGCAAATATATAGTTGTCATGTATACCAACTATTATCTGTAGCAAATGTAGCAACGTAGCAAATATATACAGGCATGTTTACCTGCCAACTATGACCTGTAGCAAAGGTAGCAATGCAGCAAATATATATATATATATATATAGTCATGCACACCAACTATTACGTGTAGCGAATGCAGCAACGTAGCAAATATATATAGTCATGTACACCAACTATTATCTGTAGCAAATGTAGCAAATACATATAGTTATATATATTTGAATGCATACCGCGACCTCTGTCTGTTGCAAATGTAGGTATATATTTGAATGCATACCCCGACCTCCGAGGCGACCTCTGTCTGTAGCAAATGAAGCAATGTATTGTAGCTCGACTGCCTCGTGTATGCATTCTGTCCCCAAATGATAACATAGATGCCAATAAGAGACTGGTAACAGATTTATAGACATCAGTCTGTCTTTGTATGATTCTGTACACATGAATGGCAGCTTATAAGGATGAATTTAAAGCTCGGCGTTGAAGGTGCTCTGTCACTCTGAAGCAAGCCAGCATCCGAGATGGAGTCAATGCACTGAAATACTTTAGTATCATCTGCAAAAGATGAAACTTTGCAGTTCTTTACTGCATCTGGAAGGTCGTTCACGTAGAAGAGGAAAAGTAGGGCCTAATATAGAACACTGCGGCACTCCTGACAATACAAGTTTTTCAGAGAAGGTGGCGCCTAGCAGATCCTCAACCAACAAAGCAAGCTACCAGAAATGTTGAAGCAGTTGTTTAGCTTATTAAGTAGTCGAGTTTCATTATTTACTTTATCGAAGGCTTTTGACATGTCCATATATATAACATCTGTTTGCATCCAGCAAGGACCTAATGTAATCGTCTACCGCTAATAGTTGCATGGGTTGTACATGATATTCCCGGGATGAAGCCGTGTTGAAAACAGTTAATCAAATCTAGTAAGTGATCTCTTGCATTTCTAAGCACACACCGTTCTAGGACTTTAGATATAAGGCTGAGGAGTGAGATGGGTCTATAATTCTCAACATAACGTTTATTCCCCCTTTTTATGCACAGGCACCATGTTCGCACGCTTCCAGTCGTCGGGAAAAACGCCACAACTGAGTGATCTATTAAAAAGCTCGTTCAGTGATGGTGAAATCTGTTGTGCAGTCTCTTTGAGTGTGGCCTTGTCGGGGTTGAGAGCTAGAAGTTTATTTAGAACTTCCTCGGTTGTTAAGGAAATATCAGAAAGAGCGTGGTCTGGATTTAGAGACGTAAGAAGTGGCGAGGACAGATGCTCTTCCAATTCAGTGCGGTTGACGACAGACGCAAAGTAGTCATTAATTAAAAATTTGTGAGATAGTAGGAGGGGTGGATGCGGAGCGAATTTGGATTTTGGGACTGAGCACTGTACCCATTGTATTTAATTTGTATTTAAATACAATGGGTACAGTGCTCAGTCCCAAAATCCAAATTCGCTCCGCATCCGCCCCTCCTACTATGTCACAAATTTTTAATTAATGACATGGTTTCAGGAATTCTATACTTTTAGCTGCTAAGTTTAAATAAATATCGACCAGAATCTCTTTGAGTTTGACAGAAAGTTATCTTCAAGGGAGTCAAAGAAATTTGCTCGGCTAATACTAATCATCTTTTTAACGTTGGTTCGCATTTCTTTGAATTTGACTTTCAGCGCGCGTCAGTTGGAGATGACCTCAGCTTTCCGTATTGCGTGGATAATGTCACCATCTATCCACGGATGTGAGTTCCGGCCTTTGATCTTTTTAGTCACTATATAGTCCTTAACTATACGTTCAGAAAAGTATCTTATAAATAGAAGTGACACTTAGTTTTAGTACACGTTCATTTCTCAAATGTTCCATTTCAGCTGCTACACGAGGATTGACAGCTATTTTATCTTCACATAGGTCAGTGATAAATAAACCTTTAATTGCTGTTACCCTGCTCAAACCAACATAATGTATATGTGGTATTGATCTTCTTCAAAATGCCTGGCACATGTCACAGGATCGCTTTGAATTAACCTACTTTTCTCTTCCCAATTGAGGTTCTCAAGTTCAGCGTCTGTGTATGTTTTATTATCAATAAGTTTACCAGTATTCTCATTAAGGTTACAGAACACCTTTGAGTGTTAATTTTTCGTAATTTTTTTTTGTTGGTTTCCATGAAAGCATTAGACAAGTTCTACTATCTGACCAAGTTTGGACGAAAAATGTTGAAAACTCGCAGAGTTATTTAATAAAATAATACATTTCGCTTGCAATAAGAAAAACATTGAAAATGTAATATTCAAATTCAATTTTCTCGCGAAGAATTTTACGGCAATTACTGATTTTTAAACGAGTTGTGCTCCTGCGGGTTTTAACGAATTTTTCTCAAATTTTCACAGGACATAGCTAAAGACGTCAGTTTCAAAATTGTGTTCGGCTTTGTTCTAATTTTGGATATTTTGACAATAAGGAGCAATTCACACAAACGATTCAGAAATATATTGCAGTCGTCAAAGAAATCGCCAATTCAGCGGAATGACGAAATAAACAAAAGTTTCCGAACACAATTTTTTAGAACAACTATTTTACTGTATAAAAATGATATTTTCATAAACATATCTTAAAACCAGTAGGAACATAACTCAAAAGCGTAAAGGTAACGCGACTTAAGATTTTCTTGAATAATTCTTACATTATTTTATTGTTTGTCAATTTTACAACTTTGTCATATTTTGCATGCACTGGCTAACATTTGGTGAAAATTTGATGAAAATCGGACTGACTTTGAGCGCGCAGTAGCGATTTTCCACAAACGCCAAAAAGGGTGTCCTGTAACCTTAAATGAGTCCATTGTGTTTCCGCTGAAGAATAACTACAAAATAATGAAGCAGATCCTAACTGCCTGATCATTGCAAATATATCCTTTTTAGCTTTTTCAAAATATGGAGGTGAACCCCTTACAGCTCTAAGAAATTTAAATCCTTGATCATGATGAATCATGTTATCTAATACATCCAGTTGTTTTAGTTGACCGGCAGTGCCGATTGTGTCACTATTTCGTTGACATTTTCTCAGTGCAACTTGTAATTGCTCAAACAAAATCTTCATTTGCAATTTCTTTGTTTCAAAGAAAATATTTTCCACACACATTGCAGCCCTTCGGTCAGACCTCCTTAATTCAGATTTACAAATTTCACTATAATGGACTTTGGTTAGTCTATTTGTATTGTCTGGTCGCTTCTGTCCTAGAAATATACCCGGATATGTTATTTTCTCTGAGTATTTATCTCTAAATATACTCATAGGCCTATTTCCCTCACCAGGTGCAACATTTAAAATATGCTGACGTTTATTATCAGTGACAAAATCTGGAGATGTTAACATAGTGTCAGTGATTCCAGCAGGTATTTCTGCCTCGTCTTCACTCCAGTGTTCATCATCATCATCACATGCAGATGATTGCTGGGTTTTACATTCTGTATCACAATTCAAGCATTCTGCATTACAGTCCAGAACATTTTCTGAACCCTCTGAAGTTTGATCACTGTCACTATCATCAAATACCATTTGAGTATTTGAATTATCTTCAAGCCAAGTGTCATTGAAAGTTATACCTTCATCTTTATAAAGATTACCATTATTTACAAGCCATTTGGCAGCTTCTGCTACTTTATTTGGTCTGACGTTTAGTCATAAAGCAGAACTTTTGTTTGCAATCTTCTCTTTAGGTTAACTTTAATTGTGCTGGACTCATTTGGAGACCTTGGCAACATGTTAACAGTATTAACAACATCTGCTGGAACATTAACAATGTTTCCATTGATTTTTAGTTGTCTGCAACAACTAGCAACCTGCATTAATTTTTGAAATGCAAGTCTTGAAGCAAGCAATCTACATTCTAATTCATTTAGATCGAAAATGAAGGTTTTTCTGGAAACTGCAGCCCATTTACGGCAGCACAAGGAGGCACCTTGTTGTTTTTTAAATACTTATTACAGGTTTTACACAACCACTCCATTTTAATAACGCTTTTTCTATTTAACAATCTCTTTTGAACATCAGGATTATTTTCTTTAAGTGTTGTGACTGGAATGACACTATGCTTGTACCATAATTGGTCACAACAAGTGCAAATATAAAGAGGACCTTGTGAGACAATATCATGAAATTTGGATATTAAACTTCTCTTCGTTCGGCGAGTTCGGGAAACTTCCAGCCACCCTCGGTGCGTCCAATCCCGGCACAGGTGACGAGCCTACCAATCCTCCAAACTGTTGGCCGTTAATGTTTTCCTTTGCATCATCAAACATCCATTCCAAAGCATAACTTTCTTGAAACTTTGAAAAAATACTGGTTTTAACTATTGGTCTCACATTTTCAGTCTCTGTGCATGGTTTAACTTTAGCTTTAGGAATAGGACAGCAATTATACGCTCTCCAAATCTTTCCAAAACGTTCCTCTCGTATTGATAATCAGAGATATTTACATAATTTTTAGTCAAGTTCACAAGGTAATTATTAATTTCTCCAGCTGACTCTGAAGATGTCAGTGGTTCTCCATTTTCAGAGTTCGTGAGGAAAATCTGTTGATTTTTACTGGAATTACAAATTGTTTGATCATGCTCCACCAAGATTTAGAGTCGTTAAATTGTAGGGGTCTGATTTTCGTCGAGTAGAAGGTCTTCTCCTAATCAGATAATCGTGATTTCAAATGCAGATTTTCATTAGACAATTTGTATAACTCCTCATGGTTATTATTCTCAATAATTTTTGTTTGCAATTTTGGTCATCAAAGCCGTTACTTTGGACTCGATATTTTCTTTAAATATATTGAACTGTTCATGTACAGGGTTCAGGGTCGAAGATTTGACAGGTTGTGGCTTAAAAGGGGTTGAACTGTCGATAAATGCGGCAAGGGATAATTCATATGCCAAGGTCTTTTGGTATGATGCATCAATAAATTCCTGTAGTTGGTCTAGAGATAAACTATCATAAACAGTTGAGCTGTCAGAAACAGGTATTAGTGTTTCATGGTTAGGTTCAATACTGTCGCTGCATGTCTATACCCTTTCCGCCAGCTTCCAAAGTAGTTTGGGCGACATGCGACGATTCATCCCCAGTAGACAGAACCGAGGTCGAGAAATTCACTATCCGATCATAAAGCAGTTTGTGCCTTAATTAATTGTTTTCATTAAGCAAACTTAGCAATGTCATGATAGAAATATTTCTATATTGGGACAAGAGTCACTAGCTGGACACAATTGACTTAAATACTTACACATTTTGGCTTTACACACATTAGAGTTAAACAATATTTACTAATTTCCAAATGCTAATAACAGAATCACCAGGTAAGCAAGTTTTTTTTTACTCCCCACCCCTCCCCTACCACCCATCTTCCACCCACAATTTTGCTTTAGTCTAACATAAATGTTTTTGTTTAGAGATTAATACAACAATTAATGACAAATAAATGTACTTGATATATTTATTGGATAATTCCATCAGAACAACCCACTTGCAAGATAATCTTACCTAAATTCATTAGTATGGTAATACGAAAATAACTTAACAGCTACAATAATCATATATGAATGGATCTCATCAATGGCATGCAATGTACAAATCCAAACTTGTACTCAAACAGATAGCTTGTACTCAAACGAATTTTTCTCCCACCACAACACAAATTGTTTTGTGTGGATATTCTGTGTTAAAATTATACCGAATAGTGTGCAATATCATTAATTGTGCACAGCACTGGAATGGAATTATACAGTTCACTCGTGACATTCTCTACTGATCAGTGGTCTTCCACGTTCCTCGAATAGTTTGGAGTAAATCCATTTCCCGAGTCAAATCCGAGTCTGAGTCAGTCCCGAGCCCGAGTCAAACGCCCGAGTCGCGTAAAAAAAAGACGAAAGTGAAGAAAATTCACAGTCGAATAGGGTTAGGAGTAGCTTTAGGGTTAGGGTACTAAGTCATTTTATCGACAAAGACAGTTAAACAGTGACTCGGACATTTGACTCGAACTCGAATTTGAGTCAGTCAGTAACCGACAAACTCCGAAATTGAATAAAATTCACAGTTGAATAGGGTTAGGGTAAGTTAGGAGTGGGATTATGGTTAGGATTAGGTACTAAGTCGTTGAACTGCAAAGACCATCGATTAAACTATGACTCGGACATTTGACTCGGGCTCGGATTTGACTCGGACTCGGATTTGACTCGGTTAACCGACAAACTCGAATAGTTTGTGCATGTTACTCAACAGTTAACATTGGCTAGTGTAATTTACAAGTGACAGAACTTTTGCTTCATTGATTACAATAAAGTTTTGAAAATTCTATGTGTATGGATTGACAGGTGACAACATCTGATATCCTGACTATATGGCATGTAAAATGTTTTGTATATTGACATTATATGGATAATAAAGAAGATTGTCAAGCTATCTCTGTGACATCACTATAGTTGACCTAAGGAAACCTTTGTTACAGTTATGGAAACACCACTGCAAGTGGAATTTATAGCAGCTGTATTATTCACTATGAAAACCAGATCAATATTCACACAAATCCGGATTCAATACTAGAATCTAACATTAATTAAACATCTATTTTCAATTGAAAACCTTCAGAAACTGTACAGTCTATAATATATACTATATAATATAAAATCGTAGTATAAATTAAAAAATACAATCATAATCACATTACATAATTAGTTACATTTCCTTGGCGGGGTGGGGGTGGGGGTGGGAGCAGTTGCCCCTGCTTGTTTGACTTTAAAATCTTATTTGCTATTATAATTATAATAGGTCATGAAGTATTTCAATTGTCCCATGTCATCTTCATTATTCAGTTCCTTTCAACAAAATACAAAATGTGAATCAAGTTTTTCGCCGATACATGTACGCCTAGCGTACTTATTTTTTGTTGTTATCGTGGGTCATATCACCTTTCTCTTGCTCTCTAATTATCGAAAAATTTCTACGAAACAAAAATATCACTCCATCCTTATCCTCCACTATCTCCTTGCAAGATGAAGTAATTATATTATAATTAGCAAACTTATATGTGATGTATAAAGTGGATCGCAGGCTCTTCAAACAACTTGGCGGGGACAAATTTATTATTTACAGCACCTTGTTTTTCATAGTGAGGATAGTTTTAATTTTCACCTGATGGATTTGTTAAAAACGTATGCATCCGTAGTAAGTGGAGAATCTTCTGATGAAGAGCATGAAAATCAGTGTGTGCGTCTCTGAGAAGCAATGGATAATAAACTTATAAGTTTGCTAATATCAGTCCTCTGATATCACTCCTATAAAACAACCGGAAATTTTCCGGAAACACAGATTGATGACCGAAAGCTCTGCTCAACAATATGGTTCGAAAAAGTGATAAATGCACAAACATCGCCACACTCTGGTGCTGACTTATGATCACTTATGCGGCTATACGCTACTGCATAACTGCTTACGCAGTAGACGCCAAAACTCCTTGCCTTTTTGGCCAATGAATAGTTTATGTTAAGGCCCTGTCACGCTAATGCAATAATTGTACTGGAGTATGCCAGCGTATGAAAAAGATCACTCATATACGCTGACATACGCTTAGGGCACGTTAGGCATAGGTTATATACGTTTCAAGCACGGTCGCATACGGTGGCATACGGCGAGACAGAAACATTTTTTCAAGCATGCTTAAAAATTTTGTGCGTATTCGGACGTTTATACGATAAGCATACTCTATGCACACGCGCGCTGAATACGCTAGAGGTACGCCAGGTGTACGGTACTCATACGCTGGCATTTAAAGGAATTTTGTCATTTTGTGCGTATGAAAATTATTTCCATACGCTTCTCATACGTTTCTCTCATACGCAATAATGTGACAGGGCCTTTACCTACTGTTATATAATGGTCCAATAAAGTTTCTTTATACAACAAGCATCAACATCGATAATAATCAACAGTTAATAATATTAGGTACAATAGGTACAAAGCACAGTAGTCTGGAAAAGGCAAATGATTCTTGCGTGAATATATTAATGGCGCGGTCACAAATAATCGCTATGTTTAATTAATTAAGCTCACATATGCGTATTGTTTCTGTGGTAAATGCCAGGCAAGCTCGTTGGTTTGTTATTATATTCACGCAAGAATCATTTGCTTTTGCAGACTATTGCGCTTTGTATATAGTATTAGTAACTGCTGATATATTAGCTAGAATGTCATCGAACTGTGAAAGGAACTAGACGCAGTACTAATTACTAAATAACAATGTCAATACCCGGTATTCAACACTACAGTAGTTGTGGCATACGAAAACAATTCAAAACCCTTGCAAAGCGAGCCCTGTTGAGAGTTAGAGATATGTCTATTGCTCTGGCTTGTTTTTTCCTCATCTCTCACTTCACGAAAAGCTTTTTTATATAATGTGCGTCTTAGAAGATCGCTCAAGCTGTTATATGATATATGTTTTGCGTTCCCTTCGATTTGCTACATTTGCTACAATTAATTAGTGGACAGCCAATCAGAAACGTCCTTCTTCAAGCTGAACCTCTACTGACTAATCTAGTATTATATTGGGAGGTTTTATTTTTTAAAAGATACTTTTATCTTTATATTTTACATTAACATATTAATATCCTGTGTACAGGGCTTGGAATAGAGAAAAAATATGGCCTGCCAGTCTAAAATTTTTGGCAGGTGAAATAAATGGAAGCCTGCCATTTTTATTCATTGAACTGCCAAAATGGCGATGTCTCATATGAGTCATATTGTAAAAATCAATGTTTTCACAATATGCATTTTTATTGTTTTTAAACTTGTCTATTTTACTACAGTAAATTTGGATTTGAATTACATTCGAAAGATAGATGTATTTAGTCATTATGTTGCAGCTTGTGAACATGAATAGAGGAGTGTTTCTTTTGTAAATCTAGATTTGGATTTTTAGGATTTGGATTTTTGGATTCGTTGAACTGGTTGAACTTCCAGTTTCTATAGTCCACTGCTGGGTATAAATTATACAATACATATACCTTGCGGTCGGGCCAGTCATTCGGTCAAGGTACATGCTACAAGACCAGAAGCTCAAAAGGAATTATGGTGATTCAACGAATCTTAATCAAGTTTCAGATTGAATGTGAAAAGTCCATATGTTCCTTATAAGTTAGGACTCCAAGACCAATTTATATGTTGTCATTCAAAGATTAAAAACAACAAAGACAACAAGGGAGCACCGTAAACCTCTGAATATAAGCCCCCCGAATATAAGCCCCCCCCCGTGTATAAGCCCACAACATGTACTAACACTCACCTCATTCCAAATTTAACGCTCCCCGAATATAAGCCCACTCGAATTTAAGCCCACTTGTTTTATCACTATTTGTTTCCTTGTACTGTTGTTGCTATGCTTAACGCGTTTATCACTGACATAACTGTGCGGTTATCACTATTATTACACTAATAACACAATTTAAGATGTCCATAAGCCCCCGTATGTAAACCCAGTCTTATAAGCCCATCAAAAATCGCTTATGAAAGAATATACAGTAGCCCAGGGCTTATAGTCGGAGGTTTACGGTATTCCTTTAGTGCAATCCGGATTTGGATCTTGAAATCTGATTATCGATTTTGAGTTTCATTTAACAAAATCTTAAAATAGATTCGAATCTGATGAATCCACCTCAACATAGACGACTTTGTGGCAGAACAAATTTGTTCAATGTTGCTATTCAGATATCAAACTGGGAACTGTCTTACTTCATCTGGCTCACTTGCAATTATGTAAGACATAAATTGCTACAGTCCTGAAGGCTAAGAAATACTCCACACATAGCAAACATTCGTCTCTATCTCTCCAGGCAACATGAATTTGCCTTCAAGCATGTGTCCTACATATTAAGTAGTGTAGATCTTATCATCATGTCCTTAATCGATCCTGGAACTACAATTGGAACATTTTAGTCCATAATCTTGTGCACTCACTGCCAGAATACCTGTTAATAAATTAATATTTTACACCTACGTTTGGTTCAATTATTATAATAATGTCAATCCCCTAGCTATTAAGCACCCAATGACATCACAAATAACCCCCTTCCAAAAATAAACTCTCTTTTTAAGGGTTGTGAATATGGGCCATGCCAACCCAGCAACTTGGCTGGATTTCTTTTTAGCGCTAGTTTGTTATTTGCCTCACAGGAATCAGGCTAACCTACTGTAGCTAGTAAGTTCAGAAGGCTTAGATTCATTAATTTCTTACATGTACTTGCTTAGACCAAATGGACCATTCCGCGGTAATTACGTCGCGACTAACACTTTCAACTTAAGACCACCTTAAATCATAGATATCTTATATACACACTAGATAGTGCATCTAATTATTTTGCAATTCAAAAATTGAAGCTGTGATATGGATTGCAGTCTCAGGTCGTTCCCATGAAATGAGAAGATTCGTATGTTTTCTATTTCATAAACAGGGAACTTAAACATTAAGTTAACCCTATTCCAAATACATTTTTAAACTATTTAAAAGATGAAAGTTATTGTTGTTTATAAGCGTTTATTAGCAAGTGGGAACTACCAACATGGCCGCCATCTATTTAAATGGGGGTAACCGCTGGAATATTCTTGGCTTCAATTTTGCTAAAAGAGATGCGCCATCTAGTGTATATAAGATATCTATGCCTTAAATGGAATGGAAGTTTGTTTCTCACGGGCTGTGGTCAGAGGCGCAGAAGAACATCCTTCTTCAACACATGCATAAAAAAGTATTTTGGACTTTGACCAATAAATGTGGAAAAAAGCTTAAATACGAAAACGAAGCTGAGGGAAGCTTATTTCCACAAAATCCAAAATTATTTTTTATGCATGTATTGACGAAGGATGTTCTGCTTTTCTGACCATAGCCCGTGAGAAACAAACTTAAAATCCATTCCATTTAAGGTGGCTCGATATAGTTATCACAAAAACCCTGCTCAAGAATCGCGAACAAAACTGGGCGACCATTTTTACGCGCAGGTCGGTGCAAACTGATTAACAAAATGAAAGAACTTCCAAAATGACCGGACGTGAGCAGTTGCTCGCGCCATCTCACGTCATTGCGCGTGTTGTATAGCGTTTTGTGTCGATTGCTGACGTCATTAGAATTTTCCATTTTAGAAAAACAATGCGCTATATCTCTTTATTTTGCCTGGTGACCTATGTTCAAATT